ACGCTTACTCAATGTCTGCTCAGAAATAAGTTTGAAGGCTGCACTGTACCACACAGAACGCACAAAAACCATTCATTCCAATTGTATTCGGCATACATATGATGGGAACCTATGCGACTTTGGGTCAAATATTGGAAAAATATCAAATATGGGAAAAAAGGAACATTCTTTTGGTTCCTTTGTAGTTGGAAATCACGATATCTGAACCAATATGAGAAAAACATCTGACGTAAACCAAAAAGATTTAAGTTTGCGCTACGTACCATGGATAAAAGACAGCAAAGGTATGAACGAAGATATGCCACTAAATGTTTTAACTGACCGTGATAAAGATGATGTTCCTGCTGATGTTGCTGATGATGATGATGATGAACCACCCTTGCGGAGTATGAAGCTAACATAAATACATGCGTAACAGAAATAGACTTATAGCTGAGATATTGACCAAAAATGGTGAAAATGATTGTTTTTATGTTTTCGAGGCCGGAAATGAATTTTTTTTTGCTTACATGTACTAAGAATGCTAAACGCATGACACACAAATCTACATTCAACATTTAACTTTTAATCACGAAAGTCTTGTGGGAAATATAGTGTTGCATAGTGTAATTATTTGGTATGGACGTGGAAAGCATCCGAGTGCGGACGTGGAAAGCATCTAATTGCCGGAGTTCGGAGAAAATTTTCGACTATCGAAATAATTTTATTTCATTTTATTTCAATTTACTTTATTTTCTAAAATTCTATTTGGTTTTATTTTATTTCAAATAAAGTAAATTGTATTGTAATTAATTTTAGGTAATTTTTTTTAATTTCTATAATTTTATTTTATTTTGTTTTATTTCATTTTGTTTTATTTAATTTAATTTAATTTAATTTAATTTAATTCAATTTTATTTTAATTTTTTTAATTTATTTTATTTTATTTTATTTTATTTAATTTAATTTAATTTAATTTAATTTAATTTAATTTAATTTATTTTAATTTTATTTTCATTTTTTTATTTTATTTTACTTTATTTTATTATATTTTCATTTATTTTATTTACTTTAATTTAGTTTAAATTAATTAAATAAAATTAGATAAAATTTTTATTTTATTTAAATTTCTTACTGTTTTCTAGTTTATATTATCACATTTCTGCTTTATTTTTTTTACGCTATATTTTTAGCTTTTTTATATATATTTTTTAACACAGTGTAAATACTGTTAATACCCTTCTGGTCTTTAAAAGTGAAACTTTTTAAATGCTGTACCGTCAGCGAGTTCTGCAATCTGCAGCATCAATCGTAAGGAAATTTGATATACCCGCTAAATGCGTGAAAATCATATAGTTAAATAACAATAATAAACACAGAACTGATATACAGATGAATGAAACAAAGAATCACGAAGACACACAGACAAACAGACGAACAGGAAGACGCAATGTGTAAATAAATAGCAACACTTGTCATTGGGCAATTTGCATATTTTGCCACATTTTACATTATACGACAATATTTCGCAATCAGTTGGAAGTGATCAACGCGCGTTGGGAACACATTAACTGAACCTCGCGCAGAAGTGGTAGAGGTAGAGGACAGTTGGTTGTGCCGAGGGCAAGCGAAACAGAAATAATAATATTGAAAAGGCTTTCCTTGGGTGTACTTGTATTTTTAACGAAACTTTGTTGTGTGGTGATTAAGCCAGAGTCTGCGGCAATGTCTATAACCAAGGGCACAGTCCTGAAAGTACCTTTTGCTGTGCTCATTTCGTTGACTCGCTGGCGCTCATGACGATCATCAACCTCAACTCATCGTTGGTCGTCGCCGCTTAACGGTTGCGACCACTCAAAGCTGCAACATTCCAAATGGCATACGAAATTTGTCATCAACTATCAGCTGCCATTTAACCAATTCTGTTCGTATTTTATTTTATTCTACTTTATTATATTTTTTTTTTGTCGCATTGAATGTCTCAACTTTGCTGCAAACTCTTTGGCATCTGATAAAATGTGAGCAGCGAATGCAAATAGCAAATAGTATGGGATCACCGCTCGTTGGTGTGTCTGTCGTCTGCGGGTGTTTCTATTTTTTTTCAATTTTATTTTTTATTTTTTAAGGACGCAAAAACATATTCCCAAAGTTTTTTTTTCTGCCTAAAATGGTTCGAAATAGTAAAATGCTAAAAGAAGTTTCGCTGCCGCCACTGACGTGTCCACGGTTTTCGTGTCAGTCGGCTAGGCTCCTTACTTGCCCGATTTTATTTTCTCTTATTGATTTTTTTTTTTGAATTTTTTTTTGCTACAAAGCAAAATCTTTTATTTTAAAGACACATGGCACCATTAGCTTGTGGCGCACTCATTTTATTGCAAGGCGATTTGGTCTTTCCTTGTCTTCTCTTTATTTATTTATACAATCAGGAGACCTTCTTGCTGGCAGCCAAGTTTGAAGTTCGTTTAGTTTGTTGCTTAATTCCCATTTCTGCTGCCGTTGCTATAATTTCTGTTTAGTTTTCTACTACTTTTTCCTAAATCTAGTTTCTTTAGTTTTTAAAGCTCTTATACTCAAGCTTACCGCAGCCTTGTTCGAGGTGCAATAAGTTTGTTTAGCGAACAGTACGCTCAACAATTTCACAGCAGAAAGTGACAAGTTCGGATGCTAAGCCTCTCTAACTTAACTCCAAATCAGTCAAACTCTAATTATATGAAGTGCTGAAGACCTGCCGGAATCTTTTCGACTCACTCGAAGTAAGAAGTTTTTCACAACCAAGTCGTTCTGCCGCCAGATAATTCATCATGCTCAGTGAATGCCACGTTTTTTTACTAAAGTTTATTACTCTTTCGGCTCCTGTCTATGATCGCCAGCTGCACACTTCTGCAGTTTAGCAAAACCGACGCCAACCTGACATTGTGAGGAAGAATGTAGTCACTAAGTTGTTTAAATTTTTCAAGCTCGGTCATGAATTTTTGCGACTCCTTCTGAACAAGAAACTTCTCCTAACTGTGCACGTTGAAGTCATCACCTAGACGTTCTAGCATCACTGTGGATCTCGTCGCTTTGTACTGAAGATTACCTTTCTTAAGAAACCTCTTTCTGATCGTTAGACTCACATTGCAGTCACAAACTTACTCAAACATGAAATCCTAACTTAAGACTCACTCAAAAACAACAGAAGTATTCACAAAGCTCAGAGGTAGAATGCTCGTCTGCTATACTCGGTCCATCATGAGGCTGAGAGTCATTCTCCCGAAGTATAGCCGAATTCTTGAGTATCTGGCATCCGATGCGTGGTACAAGATCGGTTTGACATCGCTGCAAAAACCGAGAGGGTGTAGATTTACATGTTTTTGCTTTCTGGCGATTGAATTTCCTGTGCTTGCGTTTTAATAAAGAAATATCTTTTCGACTTCTTTTGAAGATGACGATGCAGTGGAGGTTCATACCGGTGACATTGGATGTAGAGTGGAGGTTCAGATCCCTTCATGACATTTTGTGGACTGCACCTGTTCGAGACTCAAACCTCTCAGCCAATAACTCAATTCCTTTAAGGTTCCCTTTTTTTGAAGAACGACGCCCACATCTTCAAAACAGCGTGCAGGCTTCGCTCGTCTTAGATCTTCCCTTATTATTTTACTTTGTTTTAGTTTTTTCTCGAGAACATCAAAATGCTGGCTAATAAAATGTGACAGCCAGAACTAATGAATCGGCGTAGTGATAGTGCGGTGTGAAGCAGGGACGACTCTCAGGGAAACTAGTATTGGTGCAGCAGACGGTCGATCGACGTGAACAACCGATATTTGAATTTTGTTGATTTTATTTTTTTTTTTTACTCCGATTTTTTTATTTACTTTCTTGCGCTTTGGTTTTGCTTGAAGTAATTGAAAGTGTTGTTGTTGTTATTTTATTGTTTTCTCATACCCATAGCTGCTTTGTAGCTGACATCTTTCACTTAACCGCTGCGCACACATATACATACATACATATGTACATATACACACATAGCAGCAATACGTTGGAGCTGTGGAGTCATACCTGCGCGCATGCGCCACCAGTCAATTGGAATGTCGTTTATTGAATATTTGCATGTGTGCGTATGTATGTATATATGTGTGTATTGTATGCATATCATTTGCAGGCGTTTTTTTTTTGGTTTTTGTTTTTTTTTTTAATTTATTTTCAATTTTTTTAAATACTTCTTCTCACTGTCCGTTCCATATTGGCCTTCTTTATTTCATTGTTTTATTGACTGTTGTGCTGTTAACCCTCTACACCGCCTGTCATTCGCTCGTTCGTACCGTAATTTTTGCCTTCAGCTACGTAGATCCCTTTGTTTATTTACGGTTGTTGTTGGTACTGTGACTGCACCTTCTCCGTCACTCAACCAACTCACGACCTTACACGACATTAACCGAGTAGTGGTGTTGGCATTTTGCGGATCTCTTTTTTCTCAAATCGTTCGTCCGTTCGTCCGTTCGTCCGTCCGTCTGTCCATCCGCCCGTCCATCTGCTGTTCCCTCACAGATCGCACCACAATTCGCCGCCGTCCTCTGGTTTGTTAGTTCGCTGCGCGCTTGTCGTATCTGAAATCTGACTGTGATAAATTGAAAATTAATGAAGTGAAAATAGATGGAACGGATCGCAAATTGCGCCGGGCCAATAAAATATTTTGACATTTGGAGTTATCGTCTTAATCTGCTTGGCTGACTTGAGTTGACCGCGCGGCGTGGCCTCCATCAATGGGCCGCAGTCAGAAAGAGCGACGTGTTGCGCTGGCGGTTGCTTGTGTTAAGTGGCGTTCTTCTTTCCGCCGTGTACCTGACATGCGTTCCATAAATTTTTGGGTTTGTTGACTGCATGCGTTACTAACGGTTTATTTCTATATACATATCAACTGTGCGCTATTGTTGAACTAGTCAAACTACAAATCACCTGCATTTTTATCGCTTTATGCACCATTTAACCCCCAAGCAAAAATTGTAATTTTCAATTATTCTCTCTTTCACAACTAATTACAGTTACTCAACGGTGTTGCACAATCAGCAGCCGCAGCCGCTGCCATGTCAGCCAACAGCATTGGTAGCATTGTCAGCGGCGGCGCGCCTTCACCGCTCTCTGGCGGCGGCAATGATGTATCGCTGAGTCCATCTGGCGGCTCGTCGTCGACCACAATTGGCGGCATTACAACTGCTGGCCCCATCAGTCCAGGTGCAATTTCGCAAACATCAAATAATACAAACAATAATAACAACAACAACAATAGCAGCAATAAAAATGCGAACTCAGCCGGACTCAGTCTATTGCACAGCGTTAGCACAGCAAATGCCATCGGCTTGAGTTTGAGCCTAAATGCAGATGTCAGTGGCAGTGAGGGTGATGTCGGCTTGGCCAGCATAGATAATGCCGCCGTGTCCGCCGGTGGTGCCAATGCTCTCAATGACGGCACTGCGCCCTGCTGTGAGAACGGCCGCCCCATCATGACAGATCCCGTCTCCGGTCAGACAGTCTGCTCGTGCCAATACGATTCGGCGCGCTTGGCGCTCTCCAGCTATACACGCATGCCCGGCGCTAGCGCGTCGACCGGCGTTGGTGTTGGTGTTGGTGTTTATGGCACGCCCTATCCATCAAATGAACAAAATCCTTATCCCAGTATTGGCGTGGACAGTTCGGCGTTCTATTCACCGCTGGTAAGTAGAGTCGCTGCTGGCATTTTTATTACATTTTTATATCAGTTTGTATATTCATCAACATATATCTGGATGCGTGTATCTCATTTAAATCGCGAGCGTTTAATTGGATTATCATTTGTTCACTTTTGTGTTTTGTGGCATGTCACATGAACGTTAAAAACTCAATCCTTCTCATATGCAAATGGACAGCGGTCCAGCGGCCCAGCGTTGAGCGGTTTTTGAGCGCGTGCGCCCTTTATTTCAATTCTAGCCTTGACCAAACTGACAACGGTTAATTGGATTGAGTGCGCTGACATTGTGGCGTGGATTATAACGGTTAGGGAATGTTCGGAATTTTCAGATTTGTGCGTTGATAATTGAGTTATTGTTTGCAGAGCAGAGCAGGGCAAATTCTGCGTAAAAGAGTTAATAATTTTTTAAAAAGTCCAAACAAGAAAATATTATGTAATCGCATTGAAGTTGTTGCTGTCATTGAGATCAGCTAAAATCTCAGAAGCGACTTTTTCAGGTTTCGACCGGAGGCATAGAGGGTTTCAGTTTAGCAGAATTTTATTGGACCTCAAGGAAAGTGGTAGAGAGCTAGGGAAAATATTGAAAGACTTAAAGAGCATGCCGAGAGGTGGTTTCTTTGCGCATGGTTCAATTGTGGCTCATCTCGTTGATGGAATCTTATAAGATGTATTGTCATGCTGTACAAGGAGCTCGTTTTGCCTCCGAGAGGTGCGACTTATACTGCCGTGATGCACATGTTTCTGATGAAAAAGGATCCTCCAACTGATACTGCTCAGAGAGTGTTGCAACTTGTTCGTTCTTTAACCGGGAGTATAAGTGCTGTTCGCATATATATGTAGGAGACATGAGCAGTATTCGAAATAATGAGCCGAGGATTGATAAAAATTTCTATATTTGTCGAATCCTCAGGTTCAATAATATAATAATTCATATTTATTGACGTTGGTATTGCTTACGCGATTATAGCCGGATCAATATTAGCGCGCCATTCTTCTCTTCCTTCTTCTGTAGCTGATATTTCTTTGAAGACGTCGTGAAAGTTTTATTCTTCATTAGTGTAAATGTCTGTCGAGTCCTCATCGGCGGGGAAGCTTCCATAAACCACGTGCTTATATTATAGTCCTGAAATCCATACATCCATACATACAAATAGCCCAACGTAGACTTGAGGTTGGAATTTTAGCTTTTCTGTCGTCTTTAGCTCTCTCCACAAATTCGAATCTTAATTTCTGCATTTTAGCGAATTTCAATATAAATGTCGATTAATAAGAATTAAACTCGGATTATTCTTAAAGTAAAATTGTATTAATAGTTGTCGAGAGTTTACTAAAATCGATTTAAAAATATCATGCTTTTCAATTATAAAAAAAAAATTAAAAAAGTACAAAGACATAAAGGAGCAACACAAAGGAATACTAAAGAATCAAGAAATTTTTCCCATATACATTATGATGTGAGCTGTTTATAGATCCGCTGGAACTTCACTGTTTTGATTTTTTACATTTAAGGGAAAACCTTAGACAAAACTTGCATTTTCAATGCAGAGACGCTCAAACAAAAGCAACACTTTCATTTTGCATCGTCCGAGAACGTCAAATAACGAGAAGGACCGATTGCGGACAGTATGTGAACTACCAGAATCGATGAAAGAAATAAGAGACTATTGCACCACTGCCGCTAGAAATTGACTACACGTATGTTTGTCAAAGCTTCTGAGCAAGATAATAATAAATTAATCAAATAATTGTCTCCCAAATATCTTCGTTCTGTGAATAATTTGTCAGTCTCTGATAGTTCGCTGTTAACTAGCGGTGAAATAGTCAATAGCAATTTCTTAGGTGAAACAAATGACAATCGGCACGCCCCGGTTCTTCTCTTTAACACACGTTCTCTGGTATCGCTAACAACAAAAAATTAACTCAGAGTTTCGTTTCGGTGACACTTTAACGAAACGAAATAAAATCGTTAATGTTCAAATGGCACAAACTCATCGTCGATGTGTGCTATGAATTAACAGCATACTACAGTTTCAACGTTTAACATTATCTGTTAACGATTTAACATTTAACATTATCTGTTAACGATTTAACATTTAACATTATCTGTTAACAGTTTAACGTTTAACATTTTCTGTTAACACTTTAACATTAAAACAGCTTTTCGTTTAGGGTAAATAGGAAAAGAAATTAATGTTTCAAGCGAAACAATACAATTTTTTTGATTAATGGGAAATTTATCGTTACATTGCAGCCTTGATTTAATGGCATGATTTAAAAAAAAATAGTTTAAACATATTTGTTTTTAAAATGAAGATGGAAAGTATTAGTTAATCGTTAATGTTGATGGTTTTAACATGCAGAATATTAAAAAATGGTGTTTCCAAAAAAATTTTTAAATATAAACCAAATAAATAGGCTTTGGAAAAACATTTTAAAATTTAATACGAAAAAACTGGAGAAATAGCAATATTACTTTTGACTTACTCAATGTTACTGCTAAAAAAAAACCTCTTAAAAATATTGTTAGAAGACAAAGGGAAATTCACAATGAATTAATATGAACATGAATACCACATATTACTTTTTGCTTGTTTTCTATAGAATGATTGTATTTTAAATATATTTCAAATTCAATTTTCCTTTGAATTTTACATTTTTAAAACTGTGAAAAAAATTGAAATATTTTGTTACACCGCACAAAAACCAGCTGGAAAAAATATAGATTACATTTTATATTGTTTATCTAGTACATATACATATAAATACATAAGTGCAGATTATGAGTGCATTCGGTCACTTCCGTTGCAGCCTGGCATTAGTTGGTTGATTTTTACATAGACATATGTACATATGTATGTACATATAAACTATTACATAAATAAATAAATATTTCGTTGGTACATTTTGTATGTGAGAAAGTATAACATTTGTTATTAATACCATTTTAAATGTGACTGTTTGCATTCAAGCTGTTCTCTCTCACTCTCACTGCTTTTGTTGCTGTTGTTGCAGTTAGTAAAAGCTTGTTGTTCATGTTTTACACTTGCATTTATGTTAAACTAAACTAAAACATGACAGCAACAGGAATTGCAGCACAATATGTTGTATTGCATTGCCGGCGAGACACCTTTATTTTGAGTGAAAACAATTACATAAATATATATTGACATACATACTATACATACATAGATATTGTTGGTGTTAGTCAATTATTCCGTTTCACCGCTTTCCATTGAACTTAGTTAAATTTGGGTTTTTATTTTGCAGCAATATTTTTTTAAATAAATTCATTCATTCATTCATTGAGTTTTGCCGCCATCAACGCGTTGGATCGCTTCAAAGTCCACCTGGTTTTGTTTCTTGTTGTCTCACCTGTCTCACTGCACTGTCATTGTCAGTTTACTTGATATTTATTTCAATTCTTTGTTAATTTTATTCAGTATATAAATAAAAATCATTATTCTTTTACTACTTTTAAATTGTTATTATATTCAATTTGTGAATTTTTTTCCTATTTTGTTTTCCATTTTCTGTTGCATCGATTTGCATTTATTTATTTGCTTGCTTTTTTGGTTCTTTTAAGCGCGCTTTTGTGTTTTCTGATTGCTTTTGAACATAATAATTGAAATATTGAATAAAATAAAATTTGAAAATAAAGACTTTTGCAGTTGGTAATTATTAGATTTAATTGAATTCCATATAGACAGTATAGATTACGGTGTTTTTTAAATTAAAACAAAATAAAAAAAAATTATTTTGTTCATTCTTTAAAACAGGTCTGGTATATGTGATGTGTAAACAATATGATTTTGAACCTTTGGCTTTAAAAATGTAAATTTGGTTATAAATAATTGTCGATTCAAATGAGAGACCATTAATGTCTTAGTGACATATTGGCAAGTTCTTGCTGCTTATTCAGTTTTCCTTCAAGGTTCTTATCCTTCATCAGTTGCCGTACTTGCGGACCTATTTTGGACATAACCTCGGTCAGAATTTACTAGATATCGTATCGACAGAATCCGATTTGAAGATTTTAGCACAGGCAGTTCGGCACTATGTAGTATGAGACTTTTGGCCAAAGATATGTTTGGATAAGAGATAGCGTGTTTGAACTTGGTAAGACTGGAGAGAACAGCAAGATATACATCTTCTTGCTCAGAATGTTATGTTAAGGGGTTTTCAATTAAAAAATATCGTTCTCTTTTCATTTCGGCATAGAAGTATGTATTTTCTTTTTCTTTCAATACTAAGTCCAGTAAAAAGTAATCCATTACTTTCGCATTAAATTGAAGGATTTATTTATGATAGTTCGAGTTATTCGATTTCAATTAAATTTGCCACGTTTTGTTAAACGAATTATTGCAATTTTTATAGTATTGTCATTTGATTATCTTATAGCAGTCCCTGTTCGTAGTGGCACAAATTTGGGACAATCGGTTTTCACAGGCCTCCATTGGGGCCGATTCTTAACTAGCCAAAATATATATACTATAGACAGTAACAGGTGGCAATCACTTGGTTGCAGGTTCGGCATATAAAGTGTATGCATAAGAACCTACCAAGCAAGCTCTCAGTGTGCAGTCTGGCGTTGTACCCTTCTGCAAATGATCTGCCACTTCATAGAACATCTCTGTCTGAGGTAGCCTTTATTGTTGGAAAATTGTAGATTATATCGTGTTTTCCCTTTGCTGGTGTCCACATTTAACACGCGCTCAAACCCTACTGAGTTAGGTGATCAACACTTCCCTCGAAAATTTTTTTAGTACAAAATATCATCTTTCTAGCGGCATCTGGCGTAATCCAAACGTAGTTAAAGACCGCACTTAAGCCATCTATTGCAAAAATAATGGATTACTCTTTAATAATATTATTATAAAAATTTTTCAAAATTTTACAATAATAAATTTAATATATAAAAATTATATATTTTATTCAATTTTATAAAGTTTTTTGTTTTATTGTTTAATGAAAAATGTCTTTACTCATTTTTCTGTTATATCTTTTTGCCTCCACAGAGTAATCCCTACGCCTTGAAAGAAGGCAACGCCGGCTCTGATATGTCTGCTTGGACCTCCGCAAGTCTGCAGCCCACAACTGGCTATTATTCCTATGATCCAATCGCTGCTTATGGGTGAGTAATCGAAACGTAATTGCATTTATCTCGAATTAAAGTGATTCTTAAATATTTACAAAGCATTATCGTTATCAAGACATTGACTTCAAGTACAAAAATATTAAATAGAAAATAAACAAAAAAGAAAAAAGAAATAAATCTTGGCGCACTTGAGTCCAAACCTCATGAATTATGAGGTGTTGACAATATGTTGCTTGTGGTATAGCCGTAAGTGGCTTATCAGTGAGCGTGCGACTGACTTTCTTCGCATGACGCTCATATGACCTCGGTGGCGTGTGTCAAAACTAACGGTTGTCGTAAGTGGGACACGCTATGCTCGTGATTTATTGCACACTTTTATACTGTTTAATCAGATTTTCCATTTATTTTTCGGCTACTTTCTCAAGCATTAAATGCGAGATTATGCGGACTTTCCGTTTAACTTGAGGCTTAAATTGAATATTAAATTGTTGGAGAGATTTACTAAAGGAATTTTGCTTAATTTTCAATTAAAAAAGGAACTACTTAAATCTGCTTGAGGAATCCTTAAATATTGCTCAACGCAACACAACACGCCACTGGCCTCTCGAGATATTTTATCTGCCCGCAAGCCACAGTCGGCGGCTGCGTCCATTGTGTATGAGTATGGCTGCCATCATGTCTGCGGTTGTGTGCCACATAAAATAAAAGGAAATAAAGAAAGAAAACTCGCACTCACATTCACCCATGTAAAGTATGAAGGAAAAACCAAAACAACAACTTTGGCTATAAACCCAACTAAATCCCTCGCGTACATTCGCCACTGGCTGTGGCGAATCGGTTCAACAAGTGGCATGACAGCGTTTGTCTGTCGCAGCTTTAGTGTCCTGTCGCCCACAATACAACACTACACACTGCACCATACATCTCCCACTTACGTTTTGGCATCAGCAATACGCTCCTATTTCCCGTTTTATTTTTGCTCTTTCTGTGTTTAGTTATTGGTTGCATTGTTTTTGCCATTTTTATTACATCTGTTTTTTATTCTTTTTGATTTGGGCACTTAAAATTATCGAAAGATTTAAATTCGATGTGCGTTCAGTCGTAGTTGAAAAGCTTTTATGTGGCCAGCTGTCACTTTCAAGGATTTTCGCTATGAATTTTCACGCTTAACTAACGGCTAACGTTAAAGTTGAAGCATTAAGCGGTGATTTTTTGCGCATCTGAAATTTATTTGGTGTTAAAATAATTTGTTGGCTTAAAGATTTAAAGGATTTGTTGGGGAAAATTTAGATATTTGAAGGGCATGCAAAGGATTTATACAAATAATGGGAAGATTTTATGTTGCAAAATTAAAAAGTTTCAAGAGCGTTTTGAAATAAAATAAGCCCCGCCTCTCTTAAATGGAAAAAAATTTCTTAAAATTTGTCTAAAATTTACAAAAGTTAAGCTTGAAATGACCTAAAGTACCACTTATGTATTTATAGCGCGCGATTCGTCTCTCCTCTCGGACGTTCGGCGAGCTCTCCTCCACCAGATTTTTACTGAACTTTGTCAATATTGTGACGGCCGCAATAGCAGAGTTGTTAGCATTGTGTACTGCCAAGGACAGGGAACAAGTCCTGGTACGACCAACATTGAAAAGTTGTAGAAAATTTATTTAAATAAAAATTTAAGTTATTTTGTGACAGGCTTAGTCCGGTTTCTCGTGTTAGCTCGAGCTCTTCGTCTGCAATGGGTAGTGATTGGATTCCGAGAACGGGGTGAATGACGTTTAGTATGCTAACCTGTCGAGTACTCTCTTCTTCATATGCTTAGGTCGTGGTTCGGCTTTAAATAATGGTCTCTTGGGGTACTCCCTACGTTAGCATCCAAACAGTTATTACTTGAACAACATTGCGTTTAACTGTACAAGTGCTGCTCCGATGACATCTGGAAACAAGATGTTCAGAAATCCAACGCAGAATCACTCTTGCCAACAGTTGCCACTTAGGAGTGAGTAGGCGGTTGAAAAGTAAAGTCCTCTCTTGGCGAACAAAAATCAAACTCTACAAGTCGCTCATCAAACCCGTCCTTCTATATGGCGCCGAAGTGTGGACGATACCAATATCTGATGTGTCGGCCCTGGGAGTCTTCGAGAGAAAGGTCTTGCATCAGATTTATGGTCCTTTGCGCGTTGGCAACCGTGAATACCGCAGACGATGGAAGGATGAGCTGTACGAGTTATAAGGGGACATTGACATAGTTCAGCGAATCAAGAAGCAGGCTAAGTCATGTGGTGAATCAGAATACTCCAGCTTTGAAAGTTTTCGATGCGGTACCCGACAGTGGAAGCAGTGGAAGAGGAAGACCTTCACTCCATTGGAAAGACCAGGTAGAGAAGGACCTGCCTGTACTTGGTATTTCCAATTGGCGCCAAACAGCAAAAATAAGAATCGAATGGTGCGATGTTATGAATTCGGCTATAATCGCGTAAGCGGTGTCTAGGCCAATCGAGCAAGTAAGTTCTTTGATGCACAGTGATGTATCTTCGCTACGAGGTGGTGATCCATGTCGATATTATGTCGTAACATGTGTGTGACATGTTGTCGAAGTAGTGAAGGCTGAATTTTCCAACTATAGCCAACCGCTAAATCGTAGTTGGGGCAGCGAACATAACTACGTTAGTGGCACTCATTGTCATGGACGCATCGTACCTCGCTTCCGTCAATGCATGAGTGCAAATCTGGGACATGTGGAAATAATTTGTATTGACCCATTGTGGTTGTCATCAAAAATGGGGTCTCTTAGACGCTTAAAGACATAAAGCTTGGACATTTTCTTTGAAGCTTTGGACCGAACTTGACGGCAGCATCTAGCGACGCTACAGAAAGTGTAAACTGAACCCTTTAACAGAATAAGTCGAAGTTGCTGCGCTCCTCACATTTGAAATTAGTACAAGGCTATAAAAGGGCTGACCGTGCGACGAGGAAGACGAAGTAAGAATGACTTTTGCCGAATCCGTCGGACTCCCGTCACGCACAAACTTCGTTACTTCACAGGAAAAGAATTTTAGAATTTTCAATTCGAGACCATACACAGAACACATCCTCCAAGTTTCCGGCCTCTACGACCAGCCGCTTGGACCGTACATTGTGTTTAACTTCACAAAGGTGACACACTAACACACTGACTGCCTTTAAATACACCAGGCAAGAACAATAGAAACAGTGTAAGCTTGAAAAATATTAGCCAATAATAGCAATTACTTCACTTTGCGCACGTAATTCCCAATAAAAGCAGGAAAAGAGCAAATATTAGTGAAAATGACTGTTCATCGATTAGAGGCACTTACCGATATGGCATCAAAGCGCTTAGATAATACCGCCAACAACAATATCGACACGCTGATTAGCTGAGTTGAAGTGAAACGCCATTCCGAAACCATTCAAGTCAAATCAATTACTGTATGAAGGTGTCTCCGGCGTTGATAACGAAATTGCTCAACCAAAAGCAAAAGTCCGCCAGCCGACATAGATCGTTAGGTAGAGCGGCGAGAGCAAAAACAAAAAAAAAAAAAAAAACGCTTAGTCTTGTCGGCAGTTATGCTGGAGAGTTGAAAGTGAAGGTGGAGTGCAGGAGGTGGCGAGGGCGGTGCTGGTCGTGGTGGTGGTGGTGATGGTGGTGACGTTCGTAATGGCGGCAATGACAGCATTATTACTTTAATCAACATTCCAACTGACAATTAGTTGCTTATTTTGTTGTTGTTGGCTTTTCTGCTCCACGTTTTTATTGTTTTTCTTCGCAATTCCTAACTGTGTTATGTGTGTATGTGTTTTGGCTGTTGTTGTATTTTGGGTGGCTGTTTACGCTGTTGACGTGAACGCTGCAGTTGGTTTATAGTTACTGTGAGTATTTCTTTCTTGTTGTTGGTGGTGTTGTTGTTGTTGTTGTTGTTGTTGTTTGGCAATATTTACAAATTGCATATTCGTTGGCGATTGCGCGCTTTGAGGTGCAGCCGCCACTTAATTGCCGCCACTCGACTTGTGTAAACCGAGTGAACACACACATACACGCAAACATACATATGTATATACATGCATACATCCAAACATATATATGCAGCAGGCGGTATAGCAGGGCGAACGTTAATTATTGCGGTAATTAGAAAATTATTTATAAAATCACTTCAAAGGCGAAGAGAAGTGGGTGGGCAAACATTTATTTTTCTATTTGTTAATTAGTAAACATTATTATAAAAATTAGTTTAATTAAAAAAAAAACCAAATTACAATAAAAATATGTTTCTTTTTATTTCTTCACAGCTATGGCTCGAGCTACGACTTGGCGGCACGACGCAAAAATGCCACACGCGAGTCCACCGCCACGCTCAAAGCTTGGCTAAGCGAACACAAAAAGAATCCCTACCCCACCAAGGGTGAGAAGATTATGTTGGCCATTATAACGAAAATGACGCTGACACAGGTCTCCACTTGGTTTGCGAACGCACGGCGACGACTGAAGAAGGAGAATAAAATGACTTGGGAACCGAAAAATAAGACCGACGATGATGATGATGCAATGCTGTCGGATGATGAGAAGGAGAAGGATGCTGACGAGTTGGACAAGTTGAATGGTAGTGATGGCGTTGGTGGTGTGTACGGCGGAGCGGGCGCTATGGGTGGTGGTGATTTGAGAAAAGGTGAGTTTCAGAGAAAGTTTATAACGAAAGCGTATTTTTAAAATTTACGTTGCAGAATTTTGTATCGAAGATATGAGTCAGAGAAGTATTTAAAATAAAAAAAATTAATTTAGAGCAGATTAAATTTGGATGGAATCGAATATAAAATACTTGTCTGGTATAGGTATATAGGTATTTGGCATGACCGAAGACAGTTCTGTTTTCTTGGCTTAAAAAAGTGCCTTATTGTTGCCGAAAAACCAGCGTTAGATAAATCCACTTTCAGGAGCAATTTTAAAAGTCCTAGAAACTCTTATAAATTTCTTTAACCCTGGAAAAATTAAGGAACAGTACAAGCCCAAATATCGTCTTTCATATAATTTCCGCTAGAGTAGGAGTCCACCTGCGCTGAAAATTTTTTGTCCACAAGGGTTTAAGACAGGATGAAATAGGAAAATATAAAATTTCCGTATCCGTGGGCTAAAGCCAATTTAAACCCGGTTATGATAATCATTCATCGACGCCCTCAATTCATATATATATCGTATATATTAAGCATGATACCCAATTTCTACAGTGGCTTCCAAAATTTTATTGTTGTTGTAAGAGCAAAAATATACCCAAACGTATTTTTTGAAGGAAGTTGCGAGAGTGAAAGTCCTTGACCGGATACATTCGAGTAATCCCTGTATGAAGACCCGACAGTCGCAGAAGCTATAGGCTTTTAGACGCCTCTTACAACAGGAATGACTCCCCACGTCTCTTGAACCCCTCACCCATACGAGATGACATTCCCTGACGAGGGAGGACCGATAAGAAAAATTAACTTTTTAATTTTTTTAAATTTAGTTTTATTTAATTCTGCAGCTCGAACGCATGTACTCGGCACCACTCGGTTAATGTGACGAATATCTGCTGCGGCCCTATTCGGATGCTGTCAAAATTGCGAAGAGAGGAACATTTGTGACTCAAATTATGTCGAGCCACGACAAGCGGTGCTCTAGAATTCCAAATATTTTTTTTTTTGATTTTTCTTTACTTGTTTAATTATTAAGTACATTTCACATTAAAGTTTTTTGATCTCCCCAAAAAGGTTTTTTTTTAGAACTAGCCTTATACATGGTATTTATTTATTTTTTTTTTAGCATTAAAAAGCTCACACTTGCCAAAATCACTGCTTGCTCCATTCAAAGCGCAACAAAGCGTTTACAAAGTCAAGCATTGTCAGTGTTGGGGTTGACGCTTCCTTGTGACCGCGTCGTCGTCTGCTGCCTGACGGCACTTTAAGTGATATTTATGTGGCGCGACGTTATACAACCCCCCTGGTTTTTGATGCTTTCAACGTCTGCCCACTCCATACGCACTAGCGGCTGTTCATTACTTGGCGTTTGGACTCTTCTCGCTTTTTTGTTTATTGTTATATTTATGCTTACCCACTGCATTTACAGTTTCCCTGCCATGCCACGTCTGCTACACCGACCAGCCGACTACCGGAAGTTGCGACCATATGGCTGCCATTGACTTGCGGGCGGCAGAATGGGCTGTGCAGCAACGCCTTTAAGTGGCCTTGATGAAGTTAGCGACTTTTACCAAATTAAGTCAACTCAAAGATGAGCACGAAGTGAAGTGACTGTAAGGGAAATTGTTGTAAAAGAGCGACAGTGTCAGCAGAGGGTAGGCTGAATAAGCGAAAGATGAGATATTTTGTAGTTGGAAAACGGTGGGCTGTACGCTTCAACGCCTACATAAAGGAGAGTGGGAATTATTTTTCCACTAGAAAAGGGAAAGCTGCAGAGCTGTTTCTTATTGACAAATCTATTTTTGTTCGTAGATTTCGTAATATAAGATAGAGAAAAACTTGCTTTATTAAACTTTGACTTACTCAATATTTTAACAAAAGTTTAGTAAAAAAATTTCTTAAATTCTTTGACTTTTTCTATTTAACTCATTCTCAGATGATTCCATTGTTAAGTCCGAACTGCTGGCGAAGGAAGACAAAATGGATGGCTGCGCTTTGGATGAGGTGAAATATGGCGACATGCCCGCCCTACGCAGTATGGGTGGTGTTTACAACTCACCCTACGCCCAACATCCCAGCTACCATCCCTACCAACAGCAAGCACACGCTTCCTCTTATTACCAACAACAACATCAGCAGCAGCAACAGCAGCAACAACACGCAGCTAGCATGTCCTATGGCTCGCTGAATCCAATGAACGCTGCCGATGAGTATAACGCATCAAAAAACCTGCTGCGTGCGGCGGACTGTGGTATACCGCTCCCAGCGAGCAAACCCAAAATTTGGAGTTTGGCGGACACGGTCGGCTGCAAGACACCGCCACCTCCGCCGCCGCCGCCGTTGGCCAACTTACCGCCACCACCACCAACAACAGCAGCAATACAAATGGCTACGTACCAGCAGCAGCATCAGCAGCAGCAACAACAACAGCAATCGCTATTGATGCAGAGTCGTTCGCAGCAGTATTATCAACAAATGACGCCGCATTTGCAGCAGCTCAGTCAGCTCGCGCCAGCGCACAGCAGCAGCAGCAGCAACAACAATTCGACATCGCTGAGTATGACGAGCGGTTACGTCGGCGCATTGCCTTATTCGCGCATACCTACGGCGTACGCGGCAGTTGGCAACGGCAGCAACAGCAACAACACTATCAACAGCAGCAACAACAGTTTTCTCAATCTCAGTACCAGCAGCAGCAGCAGCAGCACCAACCCCAGCGGCAGTATTGGCAGTGGCAGTAGCCATAGTAGCGCATCCACGCCACCAACCATGGCGCATGGGCCACCGCTGCTAACAGCACAGCAATATCATCAGCTGCAACAACAACAGCAGCAGCAACAACGTCTGGGTTTTGCCGAAATACAGCCGGATACACCGCCACAAACGCCGCCCAATATGAAGTTAGCGAATGGCGGTAGCAACGCCAGCAGCGGTGGTGCCAGTGCTGCTCTCAATCAGCTAGCACGTAGTGGATTAATGACAATGCCAGCGGGTAGTGCAGCAAGCTTGTGTTATGGCAGCAGTGGTAATGGCATAGGCGGCAGCGCGCAATCCCCTTATGGCGCGGGTAATGCTCTGAGCGTCGGTATTAACTATGCGCTGGCAGCGGCACGTGCGGAAGGTTGAACGGCGTAGAGCGAGCTCAAATAAAATTTATAATGGGAAATGTGCAACAACAAAATAGTGTAAAAATTTTAAAATAAAGTGATTCCTGAGAAGCGGAAGCAGCTCGCACTAGATTTTTCAATTAATTTTCATTTAACAAATATACAAATTTTTAAATAACAATAAGCGGCAAATCTGACTGCCGTCACACTTTAAGCGCGCTAATTATTTAGCAATAAAAACGTCGTAATTTGAGTAAACAGCAATAAAGAGTGTTTATTGCATTTGGCGGACGCGTAAAAAACGTCGTACGCCGAGAGCAAAATACGCTTGAGCAGTGAAAAACAAGCAAGCAAAAAGTATATAATAATATTAAGGTAAAACAGAAAGTAATTAAAACAGCTAAAGTAAAATCTAAAGACTCATGACACAAACTCGCGCGCAACAAAAAAAAAAAAACATGAACAAAGAAAACAATAAAAAAAGGTGTTCGTTGCAAATTGTTTGCCGTTACTACCGTTGTTCTTGTTGTTGCACAATTAATATAGTGTTTTCAATAATAACAGGCGAATTAAAGCATACGCATATCCCATTAGTCATACATGTGTGTGGTACATGTGTTTGACCAACGGGTTAATGGCTCTTCCCTACACAGTAGTAGCTGCGGTGGCAGCACGACATGCGACGTTGCTGCAGCAATAACTCTATCAGTAACAGGCGCGAAGTGTTGTAAAAATAACAATTAAACCTTAATAAAATTGCATGTAAAAATTATAAATTAAGATTAAAAGTACATTAAAAAATTACGAAAAAGTGTTTATATTATAATAAACGCGTGAGTTAAACGCGGCAGGTACATGAATCCCTGCTGGCTCAGAAACAAATTTAATAAAATTAATTTCAACGAGAATTAAAAAATATACAGCAAGTAAAGACTTAATTAAAACATACAACTCATATAATAAATTAGAAAATTAATAAATAAAAAAAAAATAAATAAAACAAAATGAAATAAAATAAAATAAAATAAAATAAAATAAAATAAAATAAAATAAAATAAAATAAAATAAAATAAAATTAAATAAAATAAAATAAAATAAAATAAAATAAAATAAAATAAAATAAAATAAAATAAAATAAAATAAAATAAATAAAATAAAATAAGATAAAAATAAATAAAATAAAATTAAATAAAAAAATTTAAATAAATAAACTAAAATGAAATCAAATCAAATTAAATGATTTGTAAAAAGGAGATTGTTTATGAACTTGTATAAATTTTGTCTAGACGTGGGATTAATTTATGTTTGAATAAAAAAACTCTTAAATCCAGTGTAGGTCTGCAAATTATCTACACGTTTGCTTAGAAAATTCGCACCGAAAAGTCATATAGTGTAAACAATTACTGCTCAAAATATAAAAAGTAAACGCTATAAAGTTATGTATGTGTGTGCGTACAGTTAAAATTTTATATCAGACCACTACAGCGGCAGCAATAGCACGTAGCTTATAATGATTTCATTTCACATTTGGTATGTGTGTGTGTGTGCAATTTTTGTTTAATTCACACCAAATGCTTGTATGTAGGAACAACTATTTTAATGTGTTGGTATGTTATTGTAAATATGTGGTTAGTTAAAATTTGTTTTCACATTAATATCAGCACGCAGCATTATAAATAGATATACAAACGTGTATGAACGCAGACGTTTATATGTAGCACATAATAAAACTTAATAATTAATTAAGACATGAGCCAATTAAGTGTGTTTATAACTTGTGTAATAATTGCAAATAGTATTAGCAACTACTACAAATAACTGTTATTATAATTATAACAAGTATAAGTAATTAGTATTATTAATAGCATCAACTCGCATAAATATTTCTATCTACAGATTTATGTACAATTTCTGCACATGCATTCGACAAATTAATTTGGAAAATAAATAAGAATTTGTGAAATATCTTCATTTTATGTGCATTAACATTACATACAATACATATATAACATAGGCATACGTGCATATGTTGTGTTACATGCAATACTTTTTAAGTAAAAAATATAATCTGTGATAAATATATATACATATATTAGTATTGATATGTATAATATAACATATAAAATTCCTAAAACACTTATATATGCACATATATTAGGTGCAAGCGAATGTAAAGAACTTATATAAATTAATATGTCTTAAGCAGTCGTTAAGGAAAATTACTTGTAAGTTAAATTAAAAATTCAAATATTGTTAATTCCCAAAATTTATTATAAGTAATTAATTCTAAGTACATTTACCGTTCAAATTTCAATAAAGAAATCATATACTATAAACAATTTGAAGATTTTTCATTTTTTTATACTGAAAATTATTTTAATGCCTTAAATTTGTGACGTCAGAAACTGATTTTTTTTCTCTTTCTAATTTCGTGGGCTAATCCTTGATATATAAATGGGGTTTTATAACCGCTGAACCGTGATTTTGTTGGTCGAGCTCCTCCTCCAATTTGAGATTTTTTACGCCTTGATATTTTTCCAACAATTGGAGGAACCTACAGTTTATACTAAGCCGCCTCCGAACGGCTGATGGGTTTTTCTATATTTAAATTAATTTTCTATAACTTTGGGATGTTGGCCATACCAGGATGTATAAAATCTTAAGAAATATGCAATTAAACTTGTAATTTTCTTATCCGGTGAGTGTTTCAAGGTTTAAATAAGCTCATCGATGTCTCATTTAGCTGATATAAGTGATCAATGCAATTGTAGGAGATGGAACACAAACCACTTATTTTTTCACCGAATGGACCACAATCGCCTGAAAGATTTCTCTGCTATCATAGTTCTCACAAATATTCACGTGTATAGGATTTTTTTTCTTCGCTAGCGCACGTTAAGGTTCTTTTGCAATACGAAAACTTTAAAAGACAGTTTCCCAATCTTTGAAAATACTGGTATGGTTTTCATACCGTATATTTACTTACTCCATCATTTATATTAAAATAAATAACACAACTTTTTTATTAAGTTCATTAATATTTCGTTCCTGGGATAAGCAACAACACTGGGTTAACGGAAACTGGAAATTCTCTCAATTTAAAGCATCGCGCTGTGATAAAATTCCTTGTAAATAAAAGAAATTTTTACTGCGATGTCATCGGTTCTTCACAACTCTGTCCCTTCATAGACGATGGTGAAAAAATAGATTCGTCTGAATCAACAAGGAAGAGAGGCCTGTGAAGATGATCCCTCCCCGGAGCGCTCATTAACGATCGTGACCGAAGAAAATGTTCAGAAAGTCGAAAAATTTGCATTGTCTGATCGAAAAATTGAATTGTGGCCGATGACAGAAAGATTACAGATTAGCAAACAATCAGTTGAAAGGATTTCGCTTGAAAATTTTAATATGAAAAGAATTAGTGCGTGTTGGGAACTGCGAATGTTCGCGCCGCAACCCGTTTTTCCAAACCATTTTTTTAAAAATGTTGAACCTTTAGAATAATATGTGAAAAAACATAATCGCTCAAATGACCGCTTGAGAAATTTTGCAAACCTCGATCCGTTGAAGTGATATTGGACCACTCTTTGGCACATATTGGGTGGTAACCCAGTCTTCTACAAAAAATTGGAGGAAGAACTCGGCCGAAAGTCGCTTCAGCGGTTGCAAAGCGGCAATTATATTATATGTTGCCCAGCAAAAAAATCGCTAAGACGAGAGATTATGCGGCCGGGCAATTTCTAGCGCAATAAAGTCATCTTCGCTCGCGTTGACAGTGACAGTCTCAAAGACGTAAGGTCTGATCATACCTCCAGACCAAAGAGCGCATCGGAAAATGAGTTCTTTATTGGTCTATGGGGCCACACTTTAGTTATTCGCGGATTATCGGAGCCTCAAATGCGATAATTTTGCTTTCTTACCAATCCCCCGAGTGAAAAATGTGCCTCGTCGCTGTAGAAAATTTTGTTCGAAAAATCGTCGCTCAAACAACCGATGCATGTTCTTCGTTGTGAATGGTCAACTGTCTTCAGTTGTTGTGGTTGCTCGGCTTTATGTGGATTTAGCAGGTAAGTTTCCCACCTCTTGAGAACGTCGTGAAATAGACAACGGGGGTATTCTGCTATACTTTCTCCGACAGTGGCGATGTTTGTGATGGAACGAGCAAAACGATAATGCACAGGCTTTAAATTAAATGTCACCGATCCAGTCTTTTATTCTTTAAAATTTTACTTATTGCTTGTGTGACGATAATCTCATCTGAGCACGAAACGTGGCGACGTTTGAAACATCACCAACGCGCTGTAGAAATGTTAAGCGATTCATTTTCAAAAATACCCAACTTTTTACTTAAACCACACATGTTTGGCTTGTTGGTTAAGTTCGCAGATGTGAAAATACAACCTTGCACTTTTGAAACCTCAAAGTGGATAACCCTAAACACTCACTGCAAACCACAAATCTCCACATTATTAAGTGACTACATTTTTAAATTATTATAATTAGGACGGATATTTATTGCTAACAACAACATATAATATTTCACAGAATAACAGCAAAGGAAATGTAAAAAAAAACTCTGAAATCTCACAAAAATACCAGGAAGGCTGAAAAGATCATTTAGCAAGATGGAAACTAAGACTTTTTAACTGCGTTTTAAGTGCGGTTTTGTAGCACAGCAGCAGACAGATTATAATGTTTTCATATCAAATTATTATGCTATTATATAAATGTTTAGAGGGAGAGGGAGTATAGAAATAAATGGAAAAGTGAAAAATTAATCGCTTCGATTTCTTCGTCTTTTTTGCTTGGGTTGGATAAGCGAAAGTCGTCAGCGTCAACGTCAACGTAAGCGGTTAGGCACCACTCACAGCAGGCGCGTGAGAGATTCATGGCGTTCATGGCACTTTCAAGCGGATCAAATTCGTACAATGCTGAGAAGTGGAGATAAATAGCCGAAGATAGATACTTAAAGGTTGTTATTAATGCCCGCCTGTGTGTCTACATACTCGTATGTATGTATGTGAACGAATTTACGCACTAAATATCATTAATAGTTGTGACCAACAAGTCATTGATGGAATAAGAGACCCGGTGAAGTAGCTGAACTCAGTGTGAGTATCGCCAGTATGTGCGGTATTAATAGTAGACGCGGCAGTTAATCATTGCTGGAGTGCTTTGTGAACGAAAACTCTGAGGGACGCACTCCAACAGCGCAAATCAACCATTAAATGCCACAAAAGCAAACAATAAAAATTAAAAACGCATTCATTTAACCGGCAAGTGGCCACTGAAAGCCACCGAAATAGGCTACGGACAATCAGACAGGGCTGACTACAGAATCCGTCAAGTGCCAGGTACGAACAAACAGAAGTAGCGAGATTCATTGGAAAACCAGTAGCCGTTGCTTATGACAGTTGAAAAATGACAACTAATCAGTTTTAGCCTTCTTTGTTAGTAGCTCCTTAGTAGAGGTAAGAGAAATAATTTTTTTCAACACCACGTATGAGGAGACACATATGAGTTTGACATGTAGCTAAGCCAACTTCCAAATAAATTGTGGTTTGAAGCGATGCTACGAAGCCTGTGCTAACCGAAACTGTAATCGGAACCGATGTTTTAAATTTTTTTCAAAATCGTACAATCAAGATTTTAATGCTCTGGTATACTAAACCATATTGAACTATAAGACTAAAAGTCTTCTTCTTAACTGGCCTAGATACTGTTTACGCGGTTATAGCTGTACCAACAACAGCGCATGAGTGTTTTCTTATTTTGACTATCCCTCCCTCGGTGTGAAGGTCTTTGTTTGCCTCGCATGTTCCTTCACCAACTGTTTCTTCCACTGTACTGTAAAATTTCCTCTTACACTACTTCCACTTGCAAGTGCTGTCTTGAATACGTCCAGAGCTGGAATGTTTTT